CTGGCCCTGGGAAAAGGCGTGAGCGAGCCACCTGGGCCCCTGCAGACCTTGCCTCTCTCCTTCCTTCCCCAGGGCAACATGCGCTCCCGGGAGCAGGCACTGGGTGTGTTCCCTGCTGTCTCCCCAGGCTGTGGCCGTGAGTGGCACACAGCATCACTGACTGAGGAAGGAAGCGACCAAGGAGACTTCTCACTGCCCAGCGACTGAAACTGCCTCAGCCTCATCCCTGTGCCTCCTGTTGTGACAGAACTACTCTCAGGAGAGGCAATGCTTTGGTTTTACTGTTCCCTGAAACTTCAGTGTGGCTTTCAGAGTCTTTCCAGACAGTGGGTTTTGAAGAGATTGAATTAGGTTTTGATGGGACTGAGTAGAGGAGAAAATGACACGGAAGTGAAGCGGGCCCTGAGACAAAAAGAAGGTCTGAATGCGGAGGTGGAGCAGGGGGCCAAACGTAGACTGATTTAGCTCAGGATTTCAAGTACTACCAGTCGTGTGGGCTGTTTCTGCCTGTTGGGGAGCATTACGTTTTGTCATGGGAGTCGTCTTTCTCCAGGCTGCCCAAATCACTGTTCTTTTTTTGTTTTAAAGAGATTTAATTTTTGAACGGGAACTCTCTCTCAAATAGGGATATTACATAAAATTCATTTTCTAAAGCGATTATGAGAATGATCTCTCCACCGAAGTGGGCCAAGGCCATGAGGGCCTCAGCAGACCATTGGTGGCTGGTTCCAGGAGAGTTAGACAAGACCCAGGCTTGGCATGTGAAAGGCAGCGTGAGCTACGGTCACTTGTGTAAAGGATCCCGGTGTCTGTCATGATGGTACAGAGCATTATTCCTAGATGAGTCCGTGCCGTTTCGTGGAGGCTATTTCTGGAAGAGCTTGAGTCGCAGGAGGAAATAAGAGGAAACTGGTCACAGTCTAGGCTTTTAAAGGATTCAGAGCTAGAGATGTGAATTATTGAGCTGGGGCCTACTCTTAAGAAATGTTCCCCAAATTCATCATATTAATTTTTACTAAGTCTTTCTGACACTGAAGATTTGGGGAAGATGGTGAGATTCCACCAAAGGTTAAGTATTGAACCAAATGATTTTTCTTTTTTTAGAGAGATTTTTAATTTTTTTTTTGCTATAGGGTACATGCACTTGCCAGAGAGACAGAAAGCAAGAAATCACTTCCAGGGGGATGGCCACACCACAGTTTTTTCTCCTCCACTCTCCTCTTGGGATTTGGGGCATGCACACACAAGTGCCTGGCGTGAGTTTTAAGACACAGGTCCCAGGACTCGAACTGCTGTCTGCTATGTGGGTATCCAGCAACATAACCACTATGCCATCTGCTGGTCCCAGAACCAAATGATTTTTAAGATCCATTCCAGTTCTGAGATTTTGCAATTCTATATTTGGAAGACAGTAACCTATTCTTTACTTATTGCTTAAATGCCAGCTTGCTTCGTTTCAGTAATTTAGTTACTTTTTCTAATACTTTTCACAGCAATGCTGTTTGTTTAATTTAGTCCTACTTGACATTTACAAGAGTTGATTCAAACAAACAAAAATTTCATGGCCTGCTGCCCTGACCTGTGTTGGTGGGCAGAAGAGAGGGGGGTAGCTTGGTGGGGTGCAGCAGCAGAGGGGGAGGAGAGAAAGAGCAGCGTCATGCAGAAAACAAGCTGAACACCCCCTTTTTCCCTTCCTGAGTGCGTGACGTTTCTGGTTGGACACGGACTACGTAGCCTCCCAACATCAGTTCCATTCTGTGGCTCTCAATGTGCCAAGTTATTAATTCAGATTCGGAACAGAAAAAAGAGACAATTACTTGACCTGGTTGAAAACTCAGGAAATTGCATTAGCACTAGAATAACCAAAATAGGGAAAATGGGATTTGAGAAAAGATGCTACAATTGAATTTAGGAAAACTAGAGAATGGTGTTTGGGCCATCCATCCCAGCAGCTGACAGAGCAGTGTTGGGGCTCTTGGGAAACAGAGGCTCTGGATTTGGCTTTGCCATCGACTGCTGTGACACCCTGGGCAAAGCATCTGCCATCTCCGGGGCTTGGTTTCTTCATCTATAAAGCGTTATTATTTTCTTTTTTTTTTTTTTTTGAGAGAATTTTGCTATAGGACACGTGTACTCACTGAAGAGACAGAGAGACAGAAAGTGAGAAATCAACCCCCGGGGGGATGGCCATGCTGCAATCCCTTCTCCTCCATTCTCCTCTTGGGATCTTGGGCATGCACGCACACACGCCCAGTGTGAGTTTAAGTTGCCAGGTCCAGGACTTGAACTGTAGTCAACTCTGTGGGAGCCCGGTGACATAGCCATTATGCCATCTGTTGGTCCCTAAAATGTTATCGTTTTTACTGCACATAAAAATGACCTAATATTTCTGTAGAGCTTCCTGTGTCCCAGGCACTGAGGCAAATGTTTCATAAGTCTACCATGTAATTATCTGAGAATCTTAGCCTTGGAAACCTCTCAAAGAGCATGAAGTAGCTTCTTTCTCAGCCCCTGGCCTCCTGTCTCTCCCTGGACCACTATAGCAGCCCTCTGCCATCCTTTCTCCCTGTATGCCAAGTGAATCAGAAAACTCTGTGCAAAGATTGACACTGTTTAGCCCAGAGAAAAGGCAGTTGAGAAATGACTGGCTAATGCCCTTTCTTCAGCCTGTGGAAATCTATTTCTGGAGCTGGGGAGACAACGTGATTGTAAAATCCAAAAAGAGAAAGGGAAGATGTGGTTGTCGAGGACAGCAGGAACTACACTAAGTGATGAATGGAATATACCAGCCTGAGGGCTCTAGTCCTCCCAGAAGGAACCAGAGATGGGGACATGGTACCTCTTAACCTGGAGCTTCAAGGGCAGGACTTAGTTCTAAGAGTTCATCTGTTTAGAATGGTTTGGGTCAAGTCTTCAAGAAGACAGGAATATCAAATAATAATCATACATAAAGTATATTATATATCCAAGCAACAGCTCACCTGCCAAAAATGATAAGCCTATAGTTAAGAAAAGTTCCTGAGTCAAATAATCATTAAAATTATATGCATTCACAGCTGGCAGGTGATGTGGTGGTTAAGGGTGCTGGACTCCTACATGGTCGACCACAGTTTGAATTCTAGACCTGGTGGCTTGCTTGCTCTCTCTCTCTCTCTCTCTCTCTTCCCTTCTCTCTGTGCATTCTCTCTGTCCCTCTCTGGTCAAAATTTAAAAATAAATAAATAAAGTTAAATAAAATAATTCTTTTTAAGAAAAATTATGTGCATTGATGGAAAGGCAGAGAGAGAAGCAAATGGTTGTTGTGTAGCCAAATTGTTGTTCTGTCTCTTAGAAACAAAGTTGACTCCAAAGTTACATCAGATAAAGAAAGCATAGCAGTTATTTTTGGAACCCATGGCCTGGGATTTCTGGGCAAAGCTAAGAAAATATTTTTCTTCAAGACACTGGGTCCAGGATTCGAATAGCAGTCAACCATGAGGGAGTCCAGTGACATAACTGCTACGTCATCTGCAGGCCCCTGAGGCTAAGATAATTTATGTCAAGTGTGAAGCTGAGACACTCATGTTGGAATTGGAGATACCCAATAGAAATCGCAGGGCATCTTATTGCTGGACTTGCCTCATTTTAGCCTGTAGAAAGTATTTGAAAGCAAAAAGAAAAAGATGTTTGAAATAAGATCACCTGGGCTTTCTGGGGCTTAGAATATAGTGGCACTAATTAAGGGTCCAAATCCATTTTAGAGAAATAACAATTGGCAAGAACAATGATACCATTTTTCTACCCTTGGAAAAGCTGAGAAGTGAGTTGTCTCATGAAGGGGGACTCCATGTGGTGGGCTGAATAATGACTCCTCCTCAAAGATGTCCACAACCTCTTCTCTGAAACCTGTGAGTTTACAGGCTTACAGGGCAAAAGGAACTGTGCAGATGTGATTAAGTAAAGGAGATTGTCCTGGATTATCTGAGGAGGCCCAGTGTCGTCACAAGAGTCCTTACGTGGAATGAGTCAGAGTCAGGGGAAGAAGTGTGGTGGCAGAAGCTCAGGTCAGAGAAAGGGAGATTTGGAGATGTTCCTAGTGTTGAAGATGGAGGAACGGGTGGGCCATGAACTAAGAAATGCAAATAGCTCCTAGAAGCTGGGAAAGGCATGGAAATGGATTCTCCTGGGGAGCACCCAGAAAGCAGCCTTGCTTTTCCCATTTTACATTCCTAATCTTCAGAACCATAAGATAATGAATTCATGCTGTTTTAGGTGATTGTTCATGATAATTTTTTTCAGCAGATATAGAAAGATAAAATATTAGGTAATTCTAGGCTGTGGTCTCCTCTGCTAAATTTGACCCCCCTACAGGTTGAGGAAGGACCTTTAAAAAGAACCCTGAAACATGACCGAAAACCAAATCCTTAAGGTAATTTGTTTACAAGTAGTCAGTAACTTCTTTTTTAATTCCATGGCTAATGATAGTCCACTGTCTTTGCTAACTTACGAGCTATACTTGCCTTTCGTTCCCTTGTTCTGAATACACACAAACACTCAGATACCACACACACACACGCACACACACAGACACATACACACATGCACACACACACACCACTTGAAGAAAAGTGCTGTGGCAGGTCTTGTACTGTAATGTTATGTGTTGGAGGAGGGAAGGAAGAGAGCCAACAGAGTGACTATGAACTTGTTTAGACCATGGATTTTGGGCATGTGTGATCACAACTCCGAAGTGTCCTGTAGGTACAGTCTTTTTGCTTAAAAATTCAGTCAGATGATCGCTGATGCCCCAACACTGTAGAAGGGTGAAGGGTAAAATCTAGAGGCAAACACTTTCTACCTCAACTCTGAGGATTTCCAGAATCACAAAGCAAAAAAGAGGACATTCCATGACACCACTTGGTGGTTCTCTCTCCTCATTCTCTCCTGAGAAATGTCTTCCAGAAAGTATTGCCAACTTTACAATATATAGCCATAAACTTTGGAAAAACAGAAACACATACGTGTTCAGATGTGAAGGCAATAAGCCTGGGAACGGCAGCCATTCCTTTCTCCTTGACTTCTGGGAACATCTTAAAGCGCGCGATCAGCATGGCATACATGTTAGATATGGCGCCACCTAAAGGGCACAGACAGACCATCACCTTTTCTGCTCATAATCAACATCACTTCACATGCAAGCAACATTCCTAACTTCCCCTGACCTGGAATCCTCCTTGGACACAGGAGAAAACCTGATTGGCTGTCCTTTGAACTGAACCTTGTAATGCAAAGGCACTAGCTAAGAAGGTTTGGAGAAGGCACCTAGGGTCCAACCATAGGGTGGATGGATCCTTCCACATTCCATCCTGGTCACTAAGATTTACAGTTGACTCTGCTCCCGTTGGGAGTCCTTTGAAGAGGCTTTTTAGAAGATAATTTTTTGCCTTTTTTCCCCAGCTTGTGGACTGGTCATTCTGTTTTAGGCCTATAAAATCCTCTGTATCCCAGTGGAGTACAGTTATTGTCATTTCAGTTCACGCAATGCCTTGCACTTGGATTGAGATAAATCTTCTGCTGTGAGCAGTGTTGGCCATTAATCAGCAATTCTTAGAGAATGCAAGATAAACATCGAAGTCCATTTCATCGTATCATCCATTCATTTGCCTAAAACAGTTCTTCTTTCTCAAAGACATTAAAATATAATCAATTTAGTTAAATTCTACTTCATAATTTTAAGAAAACACACAACTAAGAGAATTTTAATCCCTTGAATGACTTCTGTGTTGCACTAAGATTGTCAGAGAGATCTTACAAGTAAGATTTGTATCTTAAAAAATTATTTATTTACTTCTCTTAATTTGCCCATTCTCTTACCAAACAGAGAGAGGAAGAAAAAGGCAAAATGAGAATGCGCCTCCCCCCATGGGGAACATCACAATCCTTCTTTGTTCTCCTTTCCGGATTTTTGAGCTCACATGCACATGTATGTTTTTCAAGTTGCTGGAATCTGGGACTTGAACTGTGCAGGTGGTCACATGGGATCCAGTCACCTTAACTACCACACCACTAACTGGTATCAAGATTGGTATCTTGGGACTAGCAGTTAGCGTAATGGCTATGTTGCTGGACTCCCATGCAGTTGACCGCGGTTCACGTCCCGGACCTGGTGGCTTAAAACTCATGCCGGGTGCATGTGTATGCATGCCCAAGATCCCAAGAGGAGAATGGAGGAGAAGGGATTACGGTGTGGCCATCCCTCCTGGGGGGGGTGATTTCTCGCTTTCTATCTCTCTGTCTTTCTCTGTCTTTCTGGCGAGCGCACGTGCCCTATAGAAAAAAAAAAAAAAACCCTCTCAAAAAAAAGAAAAAAAAAAAGATTGGTATCTTATAAGTAGAATTTCACATAACAAGCAAAGAAAGGTGAGCTTTCTCCAAGCTTGGAATTCTTTGCTACCCAGGAAAAGACTGCAATGAAAGCAAACGAACATGCTGGCATGGAAGTATAAGGCTAAGAGGCAGAGTAAGGTACTACCTCCCCACCCACCAGAAAGGAGACACCCCTAGGCCCTGTCCTGATGTGAGTGCTATGAGTTGCCTTCCATCCTGGTGGCTGAGGACAGGAGGGCTCCATGCCAAGTGGAATGGTCTCTGTGAGGCTGTGACTTTGCCTGACGAGCCCTGGGCTCTGACCCAAGCAGGCTGCCTGGCATGGGGCAGTCCTCACCCAGATTCTGGCTTCCTTAGCAGTCAGAATGAGGGCAGTTCCTACCTTTCTGGGCCCTGGAGACACAGGGCAAGCAGAAACCAGGTCACGCCTGCTATGAGTAGTTACCCTATCTAAAAGGCTGACTGTAGGATGCTGGACAAGGGGTCAGTGTTTGAAAGAACTTTCACCCCAGTTCAGGGTTTCTTAATACTGACACAATTGACAGGCTACACAGTTCTTTGTGGGAGGGCGGTCTCTGGCATTGTAGGCATCTCTGATCTCTATCCACCAGATGCCAGTGGCACCCTCCCTGCCCAGTTACAGCAACCAAAATGTTTACAGAACGCCTTGTGTTCCTTACAGGGGAAGGAGGCAAAACAGCCTGTGGTTAAGAGCAATAGTTCTACTTCTTCTCCAAGAGCTGGGGTGTGGGGGGAGGGAAGGAAGAGAAAAGGGGAGGGGACATACATGAAGAAAGTGCTCCTCAACTTGCAGTTATCCCAGAGGTATCCAGCTCTGCCCTCCCCCTCCTCATTCTGCAGCTCAGCTCAGCCACCCTCCAGCTAAAGGCTCTGCAGCCCTGAGAAAAATGAAAAGGCTTCCGGACTCTGGACAGAGCAGACAGCTTCGTGCAACACAGGCGTGAGGGCAGATGCACGAACTCTTCATGCTCTTATTTCTTGTGATAGGGAAAGGTCTGTGACTAAGCTGAGCTTTCCCCCCTCATCCTTTGCTCTTCAGGACCCATTGAGCAGTGAGGAGTGCTCTGTTCCCGCTGATTCTCAGGCATAGGTGATGCTGCTTAAGCAGATTTCTAAGAGTCCTAAAGAACTTGCCACAAAGCATGAGGCCTCTGGATGTTGTGGGGAGGTAGAGGGCAAACTATCCTGCTGTGTGTATTCAGATCATGGACCTAACTCTTGACATTTAGTCCCTGGGAGTGGACACTAGACCACAGTCACATGGCTGTGAAATTTTCCCTATGCCTGCCCCTTTGGTCTTAAGACCTATTATCCCGGGAGCAAGGCTAGATGTGGCCTGGTGAAGCGTGTGTTAGCTAGTAAGGTTGCCATGAGCCATCTCACCTGTGACGCCCTGCAGAAGGTAGAGCAGAAACAGGTTGCCAGTTGCCTTCTCCATTGCCCCTTCTTGACTTTACAAGCTCTACACTATTACACTGTAGCACGGGATCTATGGGTTCTATCTTGGGGTGAGAACATATGGGGCTTCAGGCTCCAAGGTGTAGGCCTTATGATGGTGGGCAATTCCCCACCATCCATGAGGGTGGAGGGGCAGGACCTAAATCCACAGCCCTAGCCTAAGCAGAACTGTTGAAGGACTTTTTTTTCTGGGAGTATGTTTTCTGAGGCATGTAGGTTCCAAGACCAGCCAGGTTAATTAGGCCTGGCCTCTAGTCAAATCGGTTGAATGTTCGGAGTCAGCTGGAGTTCTCTTCCAGTTCTGGGACCATTAAAGTAGAGCCCAGGATGCTCTTTGTTCCTCTTGGGGACAGCTCAACTCTATAACAGTCAGATAAGGGAGGAAGGTAAGGGTGGACATAAAGGTCACTCTGCTAACTCTCCCGAGTTCCTTGTGAAAAACAACTTCAAAGCATTGGTTTCAGGCAATGACAACAAAGCTCCTCAATGGGGATGATTTTTCCAAGGGAAGCTTACACTTCATCACAGCTGGTGTTCGGTGACTTTTAATTCTCCCTCCCATTTAACTAATTCTTTTTCCTTCAGCACCTGAAAAGTTGTGCTGTATATTTCAAAACAAAATAAAATAGCACATCTGAGCTTACAGGCAAATATGCTCAATGTAAGCCCTGGTCTTGAAGCCTCTGTGGCTTGTTCATCATTTCCTCTCTTTACACATTTTATTTTCTTTCCCTCTCTCCCTCAGTCACTTTCCAGAACTGCCGAAGAGAAATCAGGAAGGGGCCTTTGCAACGCCTAACACGGCAGCCGGTGTGGCTCTGGCTTCTAGGCGGGACCTGTCTCTGCGCGCAGACAACCCCAGCCTCCCACTGATGAGGTATGGTCTGCACACCAGGTCTTCTCCACGGGTCAGCGGCTCTCTCTTCCTACTGCCTTCTCCATTTCTATTTCTTCTCTGCATCAAACCAAGGTCACACACAGACCCGTGAACCAAGGGCACGGGTTTCTGTTGATTCTCTTGGTTGGGAGAGGTGTAAATAATGGCGCTTAGGATGCAATGACTGGTAATGAAAGGCGACATGGACAAGGTCAAGTGGCATGACAAAGAAGAGAAACAAGGAGAAGCCTCTTGAAGAAATCATCACCCTCTGTTTTTTTAGCTCTTAGAAACAATCTTCCTGAGGCCCTCACTGCCCTCCTTGGAATTAGTGTAAATCAGTTTCTCTGCTTATTATTCTTGTTATTTCACAGACGAGTGTGGTGCACATGCTCTGATGAGGAAATTTGCCTGTTATGCGCCCTTGAACAGCAATGTTTTATTAAATGAAGAGGGTCTCCTCTTTTTACTAATTCTAAGAAGAGTAACAGAGAGTGAATTCCAATCCTGCTTTGTTTTGTGTTATCTATACAGCCTGCATGTGGGGTCACAGTAGAAGTATTGGGTAAATACCATCTCTAATGTTGCTCTCTTTGACCACAAATAACTGTGGTTCAAACACAGGGTAGTTAACTTGGAGGCATGTTCAATGATCATGCGTCTTTTCTTTTTTGGAGAGATTTTGTTATAGGTTGTGTGCGCTTGCCAGAAAGACAGAGACAGACAGAGAGACAGAAAGCGAGAAATCAGCTCCTGGGGGGCATGGTCATGTCACAATCCCTTGTCCTCTATTCTGCTCTCAGAATCTCAGGCATGCACGTGCACGCGCCTGGCGTGAGTTTAAGCCACCAGGTCAGGGACTTGAACCGCAATAGACTACATGGGAGTCCAGCGACATAACCATTACACTAACTGCTGGTCCCTTTGATCACGTGTCTTTAATTGTATCCATTCTTTTTGATCCACACACAGCCTGTGTAATCTAATCAAAATATAAACTAGATATGAAATCTTTCTTTTCAAGATATAAGAAGAAAAGTGAACTCTGATGAGGAAATTTGCCTGTTATGCGCCCTTGAACAGCAATGTTTTATTAAATGAAGAGGGTCTCCTCTTTTTACTAATTCTAAGAAGAGTAACAGAGAGTGAATTCCAATCCTGCTTTGTTTTGTGTTATCTATACAGCCTGCATGTGGGGTCACAGTAGAAGTATTGGGTAAATACCATCTCTAATGTTGCTCTCTTTGACCACAAATAACTGTGGTTCAAACACAGGGTAGTTAACTTGGAGGCATGTTCAATGATCATGCGTCTTTTCTTTTTTGGAGAGATTTTGTTATAGGTTGTGTGCGCTTGCCAGAAAGACAGAGACAGACAGAGAGACAGAAAGCGAGAAATCAGCTCCTGGGGGGCATGGTCATGTCACAATCCCTTGTCCTCTATTCTGCTCTCAGAATCTCAGGCATGCACGTGCACGCGCCTGGCGTGAGTTTAAGCCACCAGGTCAGGGACTTGAACCGCAATAGACTACATGGGAGTCCAGCGACATAACCATTACACTAACTGCTGGTCCCTTTGATCACGTGTCTTTAATTGTATCCATTCTTTTTGATCCACACACAGCCTGTGTAATCTAATCAAAATATAAACTAGATATGAAATCTTTCTTTTCAAGATATAAGAAGAAAAGTGAAGAATCATATACCAGGAGAAAATATCCCATCACCAGAGCCCCCTGGCCAGCCAATGATTTCTCTCATTTTCTTTAGCGTGACATATTCCAAAAGCACAAACACTGGAGCGATTTCATAGGTAAACCTGAAATGCAGAAATGAGCACTGTGTATAACTCTAGAAATAATTCACCCTTATAACATCCACTGACCTGTTATTTCCTTTTTCAAATCTTACATTCACAAATGTTATGATTATAATATTAAACAGAGAAAATCACTCCCAAAACGTCTTCCAAAATATTTGCTTATTTTTCTACATCCCTAAAACTGAAAGCTTCGATTACTGACTTAATGCACAAGAGTGGTTCACAATAATTAATAAAGAAAAAACACTGCAGAGTAATTCTATTTAAAAGACAACATTTAGTCCCATTTCTCTTTCACATTGTACATAATATGGATTCAAAATGCCAAGAGAGTTCTTTTTGTGTTTTAATTTTTAAAAATAGTTTGATTGATAAAAGATATTTGGGTCTTAAAAAATTATTTATTTAATTTTATATATCATTATTATTTTTAAAATTTGCTACAGGGCACATGAACTCACCAGAGAGAGGCAGATAGAGAGAGAGAGACAGAGAGAGAGAGAGAGAGAGAGAGAAAGAGAGAGAGAGAGAGAAAGTGAGAAAACAAGCCACCAGTTCTGGGATTCAAACCACTATTGACCATGTGGGAGTCCAGTACCTTAGCCACCATGCCACTTGCTGGCCCTACTTAAGATTTTAAAAAATAAACAACTATGAGCATACTTCTGAAATTTGTATCACTATTTGAGAGTCTACTGAATAAAAAGTGATTTTTACATAAGAAATAAAGACTATGGAATCTCACCAATAATTATCCTGGATTATAGAAAAAACACATTCAGCTACTTACATATTCGTGTTTGCTGTTGATGTCAGCCAGTCCGCTGCTAAACCAACCATATCCAATCCAGTGGAAAGTTGATTGAAATATCTGGGATGCCCTGAATAAAATGGAATACCAGGATGGTTTTCAGTGAAAATGAAGACCTTTCAAACACATGGTTTGTGTAGCTAAAGAACCTCGAAAGATCCTTCAGTAACAGGAAACCCATATTGGGAACCTGACATGCACACACATGTGTCTGCACAAGAACATGCACACACACAGACACACACACACACACACACAGAGCATTGTCTCTAACTGCAGAGATTACTTTGGATTTTGGTATTTCTTAACAAACAATCTAATACTCTTCCTTTAAACATACCTCTAAAAAATCCTAAGTATAGTTTGCAAATTGGACACTAATTAATTTCATACCTGTTTAAAAGTATATTTGCCGGCTAAAATGACACTGCAACCCAAAACAATTCAAAAACAGCTTATTACACTCAGGCAGGTAAAAATCCTCTTTCTGTCGCAGTTGTTCTGAGAATCAGTCATATCATGACATCCACCCGACATGCCAACGTTCATAATATTACCAGTGACAAATGACAGATGATGGCAAAAGACAGGGCAAAAATGAGAAAATAGGACACTCTGCTGAGTGACTGCCCTGGATTCAAAAGGTGATGGCTGTCTGAAGAGGGCATGGACACAGCTAATTCTTGTCAATTCTTTTCTGTCTGAATATTTGAGTATAAACAACAGAGGTCCTCCATAGCTGTGGATTTAAAATAAAACTGAATACTGTCGACAGCACTGACTTGTCAACAAGATACATTAAGATATATTCAATGGACTGATCAGCCCATTAGCAAGGCTTATCTAATTAATGTCTGGATTTCTCCAAAATTCTCTAAATGGGCTGACATCCACATACTCCTGAGGCTATCATTTAAAATGTGATTATAAATATCTCATTAGGATTCTATTTCCTCATCCTGTCCCGTGCAAGTCTATTGATAAGTCCAGGATTGGCTTAGCAGTAAACATTTTGGAAGAGGAACAATTATGGAAATAAGATCTGATAAAAAGGTATCTGCCACTCACTGGACACCTGTCTGAAGCACAGGGATGTGACAGCACAGGCAGAACGAGATAAAGGAAAACAATGGAGGAAAGCAGGGACAGAAGTCGACACATTGCTTATCTTCCTGACTGGAGTGCTCTCTTATCAGCCCCAGGCATGTGGCTGGAGAGACTGACCCTGGGGAAGAGAGGGCTGGGACAGAGCCTGAGATAGAGGGACTGGGACTCTGGCATTTGTCATTCATTCTCCAGTGCTATCTTACCTCCTGTGGCTTGAGCAGTGCCCCTCTACCTTGATGCTCTTTTCCAGACCCTCTGATGCAGAGCTGGGTCAGTTTACCCATTCCCATCCCGGAAAGGTGAAAAGGCCTTTGCTGCTGCTGGCTTCTGGACAGCCCTCCGCTCCTCTCTGCCTCATTGACTCCCCATCTCATTAGCGCTCACAGCTGAAATCATCACCTCTTTTCCCTCCTAATGCCCCTCCATTCC